AGAAACCAGTGTTTATGGGGAAAAGTAACAAATAAAATGCTCATGAAAATCTGTATTGTATTTTTAAGGACTACAAAAATTCCTTACTTATTTAGAAGATGCTCTTACTGAGGAATTGTGGTCAGTTCCAGAGGAATCTGATCAGTGATCTATTTCAAATCTCAGATAACAGACTAAAAAGACTTGAAATGAAATCTTTTGCCAAAAGTCATAAACTAATTAGTGCTCAATATGGTATTAGAGCCCAGGTCACCAGACTCTTGAGTGACAGTCTCTCTCACATACACCAACCTGCCAGTAGGGTGACTGTTGATTCAGCCACATTTTCCACCAGAATCTTCTTTTTCTGTGTCATGTTTCTGAACTTATTATTACACACAAGTTTGTTTTGCGAAGATAGGATGATGTTAAAACCTGCTTGCTGACTTTTTGGCTAGTTCCTTAACATTTTTTCACTGTTACTGTTATTTACAAACAGAAGTTGCGATCAAAGTATAGTAGAACATGAGACTCACAAATGTGGCTTTTTCACATTGTTTAAAATGGGTGAATTTATGAATGGAAAATACAAGCAAAGGATAGGGTAAGAAAATGTGGCTCGACATTAAGCCAGAGGCCACAGATCAAGCCAGCACAAACCAAGGCTGAGAGACAAATTCATGCTCTTTATCATTTTCTTTTAAGAATCTTAATTCATAAAACCAGGGTGAAAGTTTTGGCAGTCAAGAAAAACTTTATATGCCTTTTTGTAGAAAAAAGTGTGTCTTTACTGACTAGCTAGTTTCTGTACTCAGGACTTCCATCTTATTTATCTGATATAACTTACATTTGGCTACAATAAGGATGTGCTTTAAAACTGTGTTACTGATATCACCAGTGAAGTGGTTAACCACATTGGCATTTAAATGGCTATAATTACATTTCTAGGTTAACAGTTCTATTAAGTTGAATAAAGAAAGCTTTTGCTTCCGTGTCACTGTCCCTCATCCGGGTCTGTGATCTCCACAAGGCAAGATGAATTAGCCTTTCACTAAAAAAAATTAATTGATTGTGCAGATAACAGTTCTGGTATGGAAAATAAATTATATTCTGGAGGAACCAGCAGAAATTCATAGACCCTTAAGCCTTCGAGAGCCAACCGAATTCTGCTACTTCAGGCTGGAATAATTTTATTGAACTGTAATAAATTTGAATTTCTTCTAAATTCCTAAATTTGGGAGGAGAATCTGTTTTTATTTTACTACTGGAAAGGAAGGGAGGAATATGAAATCATTCCAACCATCTCTAAGCCAATTAGAATAGTATGAAGGTCCCTCTATTTGCTGTGTTCCCTCTGAAAGGTGCAAAGATGAGAGATGACTGCTGGTGAATCACTGTTCTATTTTATCTAGAGACCCGAGTGCTCTCAGTGCTCTATTCCCTTAGGGGGTCATGTACCTCTGCTTAAAAGAATATTGCCTGCTCTGTGAGCTAATGATTTGTTTGGAGGATGTAAGTCTCAGAGGTGAAGATAACTGCACCGCTTTTATAATGTATCTTTCAAATCTTTGATCTGCTTTTCTCTGAATACATGGGACCCCTCAATAGCAAGATTAAAGATGCCTCTTCAGAGAAGAAAGGCAAAATCTGAAAACCTAAAAGCTCCTCAGATTTCTAAATAATATTTCCATATTTCTTCATTTTGTCAACATCATACTTAGTGCTGTCCTGCATCCGTGAGCTAATTGGGTGGTAATCAAAATACAGTGTTTGGATTATTAGGGTTTTTTTTTTCATATTTCTCAAGGAGACAGGGAACAACAAATCTTGCTTTAAAATTGGTTAGTGCACACTAGTTTATGGCTAGGACATACATACTCATTTTGAATTCTATTTAATTCGACAAATATTTACTTGGTAGGTGTCAGACACTGTGCCTTCTTTTGTAGGGAATACCAAGAATCAGGACCTGTTTTCAAGAGACTCATTCTCTGATCAGGCAGAGAAGGCAATTACAGAAATGGCCATGATAGGACGCAGAAGATAACAAATGGAAAAAGCTTAAGAGAGAAACGAACAACATTCAATGTGGGAACAGACAGACAATATTCAATTGAGAGGGCAATCAAGAAAGACATCAGCATTTGAGAAGGAACTTGCAAGGTGGGTGAGATTTCCCTGGATGGAGCTGGAGCTGGAAATAAGGTGACAGTAGGGTATGTTGTACGGGGTGTGTGTGTGTGTGCAGTCGGGGGAGGGAGATGGTCAAAAAAGTTTGAGAAGCTTGTATTTAACTTGTAGACCGTAGCGAGTCCATGAAGATTTTTAAGCAGAGCAAAGATAAAAAAGTAAGAGTTGTGATTTCAGAAATATTTTTGAAGCCTTGTAAAATTTTACAGGTTTTATTTCCAAATAGAATACCTACCACTAAAAATGCTGACTATACCAGCAGTATGAGAATTAACCTCCCATTTATCTTTGAATCTGAAAGATTATTATTTTTCACTTTTATAATGATGTAGCCCATCCATGCACAGATTTCTAATCTTGGTCAAATCAGTAAGTAAGGAGGTGTACTGTTACAGAATTCTGGAGAATTTAATCTTCTCCACCGTACACATAGCTGAAGTTTTATTTACTGTCTGAATATTTTTAAATTAAGGTATCATTGGTTTATAACATTATGTAAGTTACATGTGTACAACATTACATTTCTACTTCTGTATACATGACAGCTTACTCACCACCAAAAATTTGGTTTCCATCTGTCACCATAGAGTTGACCCCTTAACTCATTTTGCCCTTTCCCTAGCCCCCACTCTTCCCCTCTCATACCCACTACTCTACTCTCTGTATCTATGTGTTTGTTTTTGTTTGGTTTGATTTGTTCGTTTATTTGGGGTTTTTTGTTTGTTTTTTATGTGTCTGAATAATATTTTAAACTCCAGTTTTTGGTCCTGCTCCTAAACCTTTTAAAACACAACATGCCCTTACTAAAAAAAAGATGGGGAGATAAAATGTAAAAAGAATAGAAAACTAAATAGCTTTATAGAGTAAAGGAATGCTAAAGAGATTTTTAAAAAGCCAAACACAGGACTACAGTAAATAGACACATGGCTCTGATCAGAAACTATTTTTGAAGAGTATTTTTTCATGATTATCATTGTGATGGTTAGAGTGTAGTCCAGATAAATCTGGAAATGTGAGTAGCTCAACTTACTCTCTACCGAACTGTTCATCCAAACAAGTCATCTAGTAGATGGCTCACACTTCCTCTGCTTTATCTCCTGGGAGGAAATAGTGAGAGCCTAAAGGGAAGATAACTCAAAACGACACAACAAATGCCCAAATATATGACAAGACAACATCCTGAGCAAGCAAAGTATTATCTGAAAGTAGCCAGTTAGTAGTGAACTATAAATATTTTCGGGGCACTTAAGCGCGTTGAAATTCAACAAGCCATCTCTTTCTGAGGACTTCATCTTGGTTCCTCCTACTGTGCATCTGTCAGGAATGAGACCTTTTCTTATTTTCTAGCTAGAGGACAGACAGTGGTAAAGGAGAGTTCTACTGATGTAAAAGAATCAATAAAATTTCTTTATGTCAAATTTACTATTATTTGCTATTTATTCTATGGAGGAAATAAATACTAAAGCAGATTATTATTTCTTCTAAATGACCTGAGGTAGAGGGGAAGAGTTTCAAATAAGAGATGCACTAAGACCCAGCAATTCCACTCCGGGGTACATATCCATAAAAAACAAAAACACTGATTGAAAAGATATGTGTGCCCCAATGTTCATAGCAGCATTTTTTTTTACAATTGCCAAGACATAGAAGCAACCTAAGTATCCATCAACAGATGAATGTATGTGTGTATATATACTGGAATATTACTCAGCCATAAAAAGAATGAAATTTTGCCATTTGCAGCAACATGGATGGACTTGGAGGGCATTATGCTAAGTGAAGTAAGTCAGACAGAGAAAGACAAATGCTGTATGATGTCACTTATATGTGGAGTCTAAAAAGTACAACAAACTAGTGAATATAACAAAAAAGAAGCAGACTCAACAGACACAGAGAACAAACTAGTGATTACCAGTGGGGAGGTTGGAGAGGGAGAATATAGGGTAGGGTACAAACTACTGGGCGCAAGATTGACTCAAGGATGTATTATGCAACATGGGGAATATTGCCAGTATTTTGTAATAACTGTAAGTGGAAAGTAACCTTTAAAAACTCTATGAAAATTTAAAATATTTTTAAAAATACAAATGAGATACCTCTTTACATTAAAGAGTTTTGACTATGATTTAATTTGAGTTCCCAAACTTTTAAAATAAAGTTTTGCTTTAAGAAGTTTGATTTGCAAGCAAATAGTTATGTAACCCAAAGGTCTTTCATGGGCAGTACTGTTTAAAATTAAAAAGAAATCCTAAAGTTTTTAACTAAAGACTAGAGCCTAGTCAAGTGGAAACACAAACTGACCCTCACATCCCCTCTAGGTATTTATTTTTAACTGACTATTTTGACTAATTATCACAAGAAAACTACACAGGAAAAAAGTGGAATTAAGAGAAATTACCATCAAATATTTTCTCAATTAATATTCACACTTGAATTGAGACAAATAGGAAAACTTAACCACCATCAGAAAAGTAAGAGAATAATACTAATTAGCATCTATGAATACTTGCTCTTGTCAGTAAGGTATAGCAATAAACGTTTTTAAAAACAAGCTTATTTCACATTCCTTAAACTGAACAGTACCTGCTGCTGACTTTTTAAGATAACTGAAAAAATGGTGATTTATGAAGTTGAATAAATCATTATCACTATTGTATGATTTCCTTAGACACTGAAGGTACAACATAGCATGAAGGTGCATCCAACATTCACATAGTAATGGATAAAGAAAAATAAAATTGCCAATAAAATTAAAATCGCCAATGGTTGAGTAAACCTTTCCAACGAAAATGACTCAGCCATGAAGAATGATACAAAAACCAATGACTCACCAATAATTGGATCAGGTGCAATGTCACTTCTCCTCTCCTTCCATGACAGCAGGCAGTCAAGGCTGGTGAGATCTGCAGTTTCTATATAATTACTAACCGTCAGCATCATCTGATGAGCTTTTGCTATTCCATAATGAACTTTTGTTTCATCCATCAGAAGCATGTTCATTATCTCTGCTGTCATGTCAAAAGCTTGCTGAAAATATTCAGAGGCTTTGTTGTAGTAGCCCTAAAAGTGTAAGAGAAAGAATTTTCTTCTTAATTTTTATTTTACCATTCCACATATTTCCCACCTTGGCATGTCCTTCAACATCTTTCAACAATTTCAGCAGCTCATCTTCAAGAAGAAAGAGATGAGGAGCAGGGCCTCTACTGGAATGAGTTTCTTTTTAAAAGTTGTGTTTGCTAACCATGCAATATCTTAAGGTTAATTCACTATGAAAGGTGTATCTATGAGATTGGACTGTAGGAAACCAGAGTTTTTTGGATTAAAAATGGTCAAATGTTAGCATTTGCATATGGTTCAACCTAATATATGGAAGCAAAAAGGAGTCTGGGAAAGATAGAACTGAGTCACATTGATTTGGATGGAATTTTCTTACTTGTAGCATTGGATTTACCAGATGAATTATTTTAAACAAGCTCTTGTTTTCAGTCACAGCAAGAGATCATTCTCAGCCAACCCATTTAATTAATGGTGAGTGAAAATAGATGGAGGTATTTGCTGTTTGGTTTTTACTTGTGTTTTCCCACGTGCATGTGTCATTCTTGACTAAGAAAGTGAAGGTACCCAAGCTTCTGAAAACATATGATCTTGACAACAGCACTAGCATAACTTAAAGGATCAATTAAATGTCTATCTTTTCTCCAAGTCCTTTGGAACATTTTAACTTGAAAAAATTCAAGGTCTTTTCTTTCTTTCTTTCTCCCCTCCCTCCCTTCCTTCCTTCTTTCTTTTTTCCCTCCCTCCCTTCCTTCCTTGTTATCCACATCTCTCTTTCTAAAAGCTACAAATAACTAACAGTTACCTAACTCTTACGAAGTGTCAAGGCCAGTGTTAAGTACTTCATATGTATTATGTCATTAGCTTTCGTAAGTCACCCGATGAAGGAATATTATTCTTTTTGCAAATAATGAAATAGAGCCTCAGAGAAGACACTATTTTCTGCAACCCCCCAAGTCTTCTAAAAATTCTCCTTAAAAACTCTTCTTCAAAGACGGATATTATTTTTGGTATTAAGCTATACTTTTAAAAACTCTGGGGAACAAAAATTTCCTTTCTTCACTGATTTATAACCCTGAGGGTCCTTCGTCTCCCCTCCCTCTACCTCCTTTTCTCTCTTTCATACACACAAAAACATGCACGCACACTCTTGTGAAAAGAAATGTTTTACTATGAGCTTTTGAGCCATCTTTCTTATGACATTTCATGAAGGAACTTGAAATAAAAAAAAACATAGAAACAGCTTCATATCATACACCAGTACGGATAAAATGCATACTCAACACCTAAGCTCCTCTGTACAATCATGGAATCCAAAGAGCAGAAAAACTGACTGAATAGGGAGATTGCTGGCAAGGTGAGGAGGGCGGAAAGTAGGGCATCTGTGACAGTTATGTCACCTGAGCAGCAAACATAACAGTTGTACGCTCACAAGGACAGCTTGGGTGAACTGTTTATTCAAATGGTTCATTCCAGTTAAATTTGCTGATTTAAACAGAGTCCCTCCATATTACATCAATAGTAATTTTTGTTTGTTGAGGCAAACAGTTCTTCTTCTTATTTCAAAGTATGAAACATAGAGTGTATATGAGGATAAGATTACTTAATTAGAAAAAATTAAAACTGTATCAAAGATCTGTATGTCAATTAAATAAATTATATGACAGAGAAACAATATAAATATTAAAGATGACAATAAAACTAGTTAAAATTATAGATGGTCCTGCTAGACATCAAAGGTATAGGACAAAAATAGATGAAAATATATAACTAGGCCAAATGTTTATATTTTTTAAAACAAAATACAAATATCTAATTTTATTATTTTAGTTGTAATTTTGAGCTTTAGGCTACTTATTGTTTTAGGTGAGAGCCCCAATTGGAAAAATTAGGGGCCATAAATAAATGGACATATATTTGAATTTCCAGAATTATTTTTATATATTATTATTTTGGAACAAACTCATTCACTCATCCATTCATTCACTGAGCAACTCCTGTGTACCAGGCCCACGCCAGGTAGCAGGGATTCAGCAGTGAACAGAATTTATGGTCAAGGAGCTAGCTTGCTGCTAGTGGAAGTATTCATATGCCTAAAATTTTTATTAGATCTTATTTAACAAATGCTTTTTTCCCCTAAAATAGAAGCATTATAGTTAGGTAATTATTCTTCCACAAATTGTGCCTATTGTTCAATCTTTAGACACATACATACCTACCATGAAACTGGTATGGATCTAGATTTCTCTAGTTTAAAATGCTCTTAAGGAAATATAACATTAATTCTTTTCAGATGCAAGAATTTTTATACGTACCTTTTTAGAATGTGGTTTCATTACTGTGCATTGTATTTCCAGATTTTTCATTCATAAAGAGTTTAATATCTAATTTTTTTAATATCTAAATTTAATCTCCTCTCAAGGGTTCTGTCTGACCTTCCACAGTTCTTTTCTGTTATCAGTTAATCCCTATTCTGTTATAGAATTCAGAAGATTTCAGAAATTAATCCTTGCGATCTTAAATAAGAGTTCAAGGATATATAAGTGAATTTATGCACTTCACAAATGCATCTTATTGGAAGAGGTGATGCCTTTAATGTACTAAGTATCACTAATAAGCATGTGGTGGACAATTTCAGGACAGGATATTATGACATCATAGACCTTGAATCAAAACTTGCATTATTACACTATAACATAGAACTTTCACGCATTATTTTGATTCTTACCAGATCCTTCTTAGTGTCTAAAATGTCACTCTGTCCAATAAGCAAGCTCAAAATAAGTGGGGATTTCCCCCAGTACTGAGGAAGGATCATTTCTCACACATTTTCCTTTCTATTCTAGTATTGGAATTACCATTGTTTTAATTATGTGATTCTCTGATCTTATTAGACAATAAAAAACATCTCATGAAGGATCTATACCTAGTTATTTTCCCTAAAATATCCTCATTTGACCCTTTACATTAACAATATATTTTCAATTAAAAACCCATCACATCAAGAGAGTGGGATGGGTGGCCCATCTTCCATGATTATATAGTAAAATGTAAACTAATGAGGATATTTTTAAGGTGTATTAACTTTAGTTGTAACAACACTATAATAATTAGAGAAAATTATTTTTCCAAAACTATTTCATATGATATCTGTGGTCTTATAGTAGTATTATTTCCTGGAAATTATGGTTAAGAATACAATTAGAATACATTGCATTGATAATATGAAGCCAGAAAAGGTATATGATGAGGGCAGTTGGCAGAGAGCCTCAAAAGGTAGACTGACAAGTATCAGCAATATTAGATTTACTTTTAAAGATTTAGTCAAGTTTTCAAATGCCAAAATATTAGGAAAAAAAAAAACAAACCCAGAGGTTTGGAATTTCAAAAGTGAGAGAATACTAACTCTCAAGTGGTATAAAATTGGTTACAAATGTATTGATTGAATGAACTTGCTTATTTTTGTTCACCAACTCTGTGCTAGGTTCTCATCAAAGAATTGGAATGAAAAAAAAAAAAAAAGACAGATCTGGTCCCTGTTCTCATTAAGCTTCTTTCTGTTCTAGACACATTCAGCAACAACAAGAAGAAAAATATCAATAAGAAAACTGTAAGTGCTACATGAAAAACTGAAGTAATGTTAAAGAGTGACCTGGTGGCTACTTTTGATTGAGTTGCCTTAAGGAAGCTTTCTCTAAAGATGTGGCATTTAGCTGAGTGAATGACAAGAAGCCAGCAATATGAAGTTCAGACTAGGGAGCAGTCCACGCGAAGCATTCCAGCTAAAGCGAACGTTCTCAGGCAGAAAGAAGCTCAGGTTGTTTGAAGAACTCCATGAAAGTCCATTTGGCTGTGGTAGAGACAATAAGGAGGAGTGAGGGAGGCTATAAAGTCAGGGACTGGGGATGGGTGGTTAATGCAACTCATGCAGACTGCTTCAAGTCAAGGTGAGGATGCATAGATATGTTCTGAGAAGAATACGAAGCAATGGAAGTATTTTAAGCAGAGAAATAATATGATTTTATTTATATTTTAAGATAATTACTTGGGCCTCTGGGTGGGGGCTGGATTTGATGGAGGAGAAATGAGGAAATGAGTTCAGAGCTTACTGTAACAGTACAGGTGAGAAAACATTGTGTCATAAACTGATGTGGTGATAGTAGCGGAGATAGAAGAAATGAGTGGATCTGAGGTGTGCTTTGGGTGCATAAAGATTAGGGTTTACTTCCGGATTGGATGTGGAAGGTGGGGGAAGAAGAATCAAAGAATATTCAGATTTTTGGTGTGAGCAGTTGGGTTGATGGATAATGGTACCATTCATTAAGATGGGGAAGACTGGGGAGAAGTAGGTCAAGGGAGAGAGGAATCACATTTAGTTTGAGATGTATATTAGAAGACATCCAGGTAGAGATGCTAAGCAGGCAGTTAGCTTTACAAGTCTGCAGTGCAGAGGAGAGATTAAGGCTGGAGACACAAATCTGGGAGCATCAGCATATGGATGGTAATTGGGAGTGGCAATGGGAGTGGCTGAAATCATCGAAATCAACGATAAAGCAAAGAAAAGATTGTAGTGATTAAGAGTATGCATTTGAATATCACAGCCACCCAGAAGCTTGGAGACCTGGGGGGGTTAGTTAAACTCACTGAGCCTGGGAAAAGGGAAATCAATGGAATGATACCACTTAAGGGTGTGGAGCATAATAATGGCTCTACCACTTATAAAGATGGTGCTTACTTCCTCTGCCAGGCACTGTTCTAAGTGTCTTACATTTATTAACACAACATACAAAACAACCTTATGAGGTGAGAAAACTGAAACATCTAGAAGGTAAGTAGCTTGTCCCAGGTCACAGATCTTATAAGTGAAAGAGCTTTTAATTCAGTCTGGTCTCAGAGTTAGTGCTTTTAATCATTACATACAGAGCCTCAGAAAGATTAAGACAAGGGGTATCAGAACAGTTTGAGAATGTCACTACCTTCAAAAATGACAGATCTCATTCATGATCAAAACAGCGATTGTAATAGAGAAACGAGCCTCTTTCATACTGTTTCGAAAGGAGAATCTAGGTAATAAAAGATAAAGTCAGAAGAAGATAAACCAAAAGTCCATCTTGACCAATGCATTTCACTAGCAATGGACTCTTGAATGAGATACTTTTATTTTAGACTTTTTCTCTCTTCTTTCACATAACCAATCTGTTGCTAGAACTCCTTATTTCCTTCAGAATTACTCTTGGGACTGTCCTTTCTTCTCCTGAGGGACCAAGCAGGGGCATCACAGCTGGATTAAAAAAAGCAAGAATTTGGAGCAAGGGAGGTGAATGTTAGTGTCAGCAGTAAGAGCCAGTTGTTATAATGAAGTTCCTTTGAATTGAAATATTTTAATTGCTTTTCAAATCCAAAATCACTTAGACTCTGCACTGGCTGTGAAGATACGAATCAGTGTTAGCAGCTTGCAGTGACTGGACCAAGATGGCGACCAGGTCCCGGAAGAGGAGGAAGTAACAGGCATCTCTCTTCCCAGTCACTGCCTTGTGCATTGACTAAGTCCTGCATTCCTGGGGCCATTCCACACAACTTATTATGGGAAGGAGAAGAGCAAATGAAAGAAGAATTTTAAAGTTTTGCAAATTTCTCCCTATGAACAAGGAACACATTATACTCACTTTTTCATTGTAGATGTCCCCAAGCATTGTACTTGCTCTCACAAAATCTAGGCTTTGAAAATTGTTTCTTGCAATTTTCACAACTTTTTTCAAGTATTTAATTGCTTCCATCATCTGTCCTTGGCTAGAATAAATAAAACAAGAAACTATTGGAATATCATTCCATTTAATGTCACAGTCAAGAGAAGATTTTTTGTGTGTCTTTGCTTTAGAAACTGCAAGATGGTTATCAGGATAATGAAATGTAAAGTGTACATTTTAAAAATAAGTGGCTTGTCTTTGTTGGAGTATACAGTGAGTTAGAACTTAAACTTTTAAATGCCTATGCATTGTTGGTAGGATTGTAAAATGGTGCAGCTGCTTGGAAAAATAACTTGGCAGTTCCTCAAAAAGTATAGCATATAGTTACCATATGACCCAAGAATTCCACTCTTGTGCATATACCCAAGAGAAACAAAAAAACATGTCCACACAAAAACTTGTACATAAATGCTCATAACAACATTATACATAATGGCCAAGAAGTGGGAACCACCCAAATGTCTATCAATTGAATGGATAAGTAAAATATGCTATATTCATACAATGGAATATTATTGAGCCATAAAAAGGAATAAAGTAGTGAAACATGATACAGCATGGATAAACCTTGAAAACATGCTAAGTGAAAGAAGCCAGTTACACAAAAACACACATATTGTATGGTTCCATTTATATGAAATGCCCAGAACAGGCAAATCCATAGAAACAGAAGGTAGTTTAATGGCTACTAGAGGCTGGGGAGAGGGGAGGCAATTGGGAGTGGCTGCTAATGGTTAGGGGTTTCTTTCTGAGGTGAAGAAAATGATCTGAAATTAAACAGTGGCTGGGGTAAGGTGGTAGCTCAGTGGTAGAGTGCCTGCTTGGCATGCACAAGGTCCTGGGTTCAATACCCAGTACCTCCACCAAGAAATAAATAAAATAAATAAATTTAATACTTCCCCCCTAAACAAAAACAAAAACAGTGGTGATGGTTGTAAAACTCTGTGAATATACTAAGAACTACTGAATTGTAGATGTTAAAAGGGTAAATGTATGATATATGAATTATAACTCAGTAAAGTTATTTAAAAAAAAAACTCTAAAAAGGTTGAAAATTTCCACATTCCTTTGCAAATGAAACCAGTTCCTTGAGGGGAGGCCTATGTGATTCATAAAATATCTGCTGGAAATATTAGAACAAATATGATGAAGACAGAGGATTCTGAAATCTCCTAACTAGAATTCAAGGCAGGAGAGAGAGTCAGAGTCTCGGCTCCTGGCACAACCATCTGGCAAACAGCAAGAATTTAAAAAAACAAGAAAGAAGATTTTACTGTTTTACGCCACTAGGATTTTGGTGACTGTTCGAGTAACTCAAATGACCAAAACTGACTAAGACAAATTTGACTATTTTTTTCTTTTGTAAAGAATAGAATGGTCAAGTCAATATGGGGTATACCTTAAATTTATACAGTGCTATATGTCAACTATACCTCAGGAAAACAAACAAGGTTCAGGGGGGAAGTAGAGGGATGGAGGAATAAAGTGGGAGTTTGGGAATTGCAGATACTAACTACTGTACATAAAATGGACAAACAACAAGTTTCTACTGTATAGCACAGGGAACTAAATTCAATATCTTACAGTAACGTATAATGAAAAGGAATATATGTATGTATATGTATGACTGAATCATTATGCTGTGAACCAGAAATTGACACAACATTGTAAACTGACTATACTTCAATTTAAAAAAAAAGAAACTGGAAGAAAAAATAATGTACTTCTATCTGGAATATTAAATTAATTAATTAATTAATATCATCAGAAAAAGAATAGAGGGGCACATTATTTTTAAGATTTCAATGAATTATATTCGGGTACTTCTATTATTTGAATTCAGCTCTCGTTTTACAAATCTTGAGTCCCCAGTATGCATTAGTTTCTCATGATCTGAATGGAACTCCAAGGATACACAAATCATAATTTCATAGGATTAAGAGCTAAATGGTCAGGGAAGAGAGAAGCGGAAAAAGTCTAAAAATCTCTCTCAAGGAGCTAATTCTTTGAAAGGCTGTCTAAAGAGACCAGCTCTTTTCTTTTAGGAGCCAGTTGTAGTGATGTCCTATGTGAAGAACACTTGGGGGTGTACTGAGAGAGGTACGCTTTCAGAGGGGCAAATGAGATTAGCAACCAAGGTGAAAAAATCTTTGAGCAACCAAAGAGACAGAAATTTTTGTAAACAGCTACATCCAAGGTAAAAAAAATGCTCTGACTGACTCAGCTCAGGCAGCTGAAGACAAAGTCCAGCTCCAGGAAAATTTGACTGCTGATTCAGACTCCTGATTCAGAGCCATAAAGATTTAAAACATTATGAGCCAGGCAAGACATGATTCCAAAATAATGGGTCCAAATTAAGTATGCTAAAGAAAATTCAGTATTTGTTGAATGTCTGGCTTTTTTATTTTTTATTTTTTGATCAATCCGTAAAACAGAAAGGTGAATCTAAGTTTATATGCGATTCCATTGTTAAATCGTGTCCAAACTGTTAACATTTTGTATTAAAGTGATAAAATCCAGAATTTAGAGGTTTTAAAATAACAGAAAAACCTATAAGGTGTTCTTTAATGGAGTAAAGTAAAGGAGGCACTCTTACTGCTGAATGTCTCTCAATCCCTACAACTACCTCTTTGCTTTCATAGGTTAATAGCTTCCAGTGAGCACCTATCCCTTAGTAAAACACAAGATGAAATTCTGAGATGCAGACACTGGTTTGCAATTGAGTTGATTCTTGCATGGGCATTTCTCTTTGTTTATACAGCAAGGATATACTCAGAGGACCTCCAGATAGGATGGTGACAAATATGACATATAGAGAAGCTTTGCTACAAATCTTTATGTTATTGCATCTAAAGAAAAATTTAGCAACATTAATACAATGTTTCACTTATTCTAAAATACACACATTCCCATATTTTAACATTTCTGAAATCACGATCCATCGCAACAGGTGGCATTCTATAATCTCAGACAGGGAGCAGTCAAGTCACAGTTGTTGCTGAACTCATCCGTGTTCCTGGAGATAACCTACGATTGCAATGCTTTGATCTTTCTGTCAACAACTACTTAAAGATAATTTCAGAAAGGAATATGGGGACTCGCTGTTTTCTAAAAGTCTTTCCCTGAAATTTTCTGGAAGACAAGAAAGTGCCACTTTAAAAACTGGAGATTGAATGTCCATGACTTGGCAGAAATCCTGGAGGTGATACTGGAGCACTTATTTTAAGAAAGGCTATATAGCATCAGTGTTCTTGATTTCACAAAAGATGACATGTATGAGAGAAAAAAGATAGTGACAATTCCAAGTTTAAAAGCGATTCAGAAGAACTGGGCTTTGAATGCAAAGATGTTTGAGGAGTGTAATAAATTTACTTTGCTTATATTTTCTTTTCACATGAATTCTCAAGAGTAATTATAAAAATATCTATGTATAAATGAGTCTAAAATAGCTTTTATTAAGTATAAAATCAAAATTCTAACCAATAAGAAAAGTAATGTCAACTTAGTTAGAATATTTTTCTTTCTTGGGTATGTTAAGGTGTATCTTCCAATAGGAAGAATCTTAGATTCAGTGAAATCCAGAAATAAAGCTACTCCTTCAGTGTAATGGATTAGGTTAGTTCATTGGCTAGTGAATGATGAAAATTTTCTGGGAAGTTTAAAATTCACATTGTACTTATGAATGTGTGCACATGATATGACTGGAACATAATGAGACTGAACAACTTTAAACTGGTCTAATTACTTTATAGGACTAATAAATCTCTATCTGTATTGACTCATTTTGATTTAATTTTATGCAAAAATCAATGTAACTAATTTTTTTTGTTTTTGTGTTTTTGTCATGTGTGTGTAGCCATAAAGCAATCAAATATTCACTGTTCTGGTTGTATGGCGGACATCAAAATATTAACAGTTCTAACCTTACACATTCTTCTGCAAAGTGGTTCTCATTTTCCTGGTTGTAGTTAAAATAGCAAAATTTAACACGCACCCAAATCTCTGAGCAAACAGAACTCACCACAGAGTCATTTTTTCCCTGAATGTCTACAATAAATAATTGATGAGCTCTATTATTACTATATGCGATAAATAGTTGGAAAAGCGCTTCTTGAAAAAGTAATACAAAAGGTAATATTTGATTTTTAGTGGCAAGAAGTTGAGATTTTTTCACATCAGAAATGGTCAGTAAATGGAATAATAACTTCATGCAAAAACATTTTTGTACATTTAGAATATTCATAAAATAACCCCATGAATGGAATGTTTGTGTTAGCATCACTATTGGGCAAATTAAAATTTGTCTGGATGTTTTACAAAATTAACTAGAATGAGTTGGGAAATCATGTTCACAACCAAGGAGAGTTATATAAGATTAGGATTCATACTTGACTTGGAAAAAATGTCTAGCTGCCTTGAAACACTGACTAGAATGAAGTATTGTGTCTAAATGCTGGTTTTCTATGATCTGTATGGAAATAAACACAGCAGCTCTGAGGATCATTATTCCATGGTCTTTGATCTGTACTAAGCATTTAATAAAACTAGTCTTTAAGTGTCAAAAAAGATGGGAGAATTGTATGGTATATGAATTATATTTCAATAAAGCTGTTATCTAAAAAAAATAAAACCTTTAAAAATTTATAAAATGTGAGCGGTAGTTTGTTCTTGCAAGTGTCCCTTAGCAGTGAAATCTCAGGTATCACTAAAGTCACCTAGACAAGGGACAAAATGCTTAGAAAGACATACAGTTTCTGGCAGAGTGCTTGGTGTATATTAGGCTTTCATATATTTTTGAATAAAGAAATGGTTGAAAATTTGAGATGGGAAACACTTACGCAGCACACATAAAAACTAAGCTTCAAAAAAAAGAAAAAGAAAAAAGAGAAAGAGGTAAGTTTCCAGGTAAGTCATGAGAATGTCATTGGATGTTTAGAGTCCATGGCTATAAACTGTGTCCTGGATATTTCAGTAACATCAGGAATATTTTTTATTTCAGGAACATCTTTTGAGAGACTATCAAATGCCCTAGAATGTTCTAAA